CAGTAAACTTCAACTCCATGTGGTCCATTGTGTTACCTTCTGGCTGTCCTAGCAGGAATGGGTTGCATGGCAGGACCACAAGAGGCTGTAGAGTAGATTGTCTATGTTTGTTCTTTTGGTTAGGAAATAATGTTTTCCTCTTGAGGTAGGAATGTAACTGGGCCCAGCCTTGACTAGCATTCAACATCTTGTAGCTCAATCTCCTCAGTTGTGCTTTCTGCAAAGCAAAAGACAAGTCAATGAACTGAAATCAGCCACACAGTGGTTTCTTGGTATGAACAAGATAACACATGCCACTTGTGGTCTCAAAACCACAAATGAATAATCACAAGGCCCCAAATGTTACCTTTGAGTTTGTGTCTTCTCTTCCTCTGGAATTTATATGAACACTTATTACAGACCCACATGAGGCTGATTAACACTGCGGCCACAGCAGCGAGTAAAGCAAGGAAGACAGCAACAAAATGGAGGTCTTCGTAGAGGATCTCTAGGGATGTGGGGAGGGAAAGCAGAAGACAGATCCCTTTTAATATTGTGAAGTCGACCACCCACACTTGTGTTCAGAGGTGACTCAGACCCCTGTGGCTGTCTTACCAGACACATGCAGGACAATGGTGCCAAACTGGCTGCTCCCCAGGCGCTCTGTCACGGTGATGATGTAAGAGCCTGAATCCCGCACTCCCACACTGAAAAGTTGGATGGAGCCATTGTCAAAGGTGCAAACTCTGTCCCTATGGCTTTGGGAGATATTGGCCTGAGTCCCTGGTTTCCACTCCACGATTTTCTGCACACCCCAGTTGGACCTGTACTTCCATTCGATGGTGGGCACCCCATGGCAGGAATATTCAACGGAGAGCAGGATGTCTTCTTCRACAGTGGCATTGATGATGGACTGGGGAATGTACAGTGACACACCCTGACCTGCAGGATGGAGTGCTAGATGTCAGGCACACTTACACTTTAGTRTAATGAACTTATACTTTAGTCAACTTATTTAACTCATTAATTTATTTCACAAGCATTTATTGAGTACCTGTTATATGCCAGGAATGGTTAGAGGCTCTGGTATTGATGCTGTAAAGGTGGACAAGATACAAATTTCCCTGTGTCTAACTTACACTATATATGGGAGAGACACAAGGGATCAACAAGCAAACAAGGTAATTTTAGGTAATGACAAGTGCTGTAAAGATAATGAACATTGCCAGGCGTAGTGGTGCACACCTTTAATCCCAGAAAGTCGGGACACTGAGGCAGGAGGATCACAAGTTTGAGGCTAGCCTGGGCAACTTAGTGAGACACTATCAAAATAAAAAAGAGCTGGGGATGTAGCTCAGTGGTATATCCTCTGGGTTCAATCTCCAGTACCTCAAAAAATAATAATAATAAACAAGGATAATAGTGAGGTGATAAACAGCATTAGATGGCCAAGGAAGACCTTGCTGAAGAAATGACTTTTGAACCGAGACCTAAAGGACAAGGAAGAGGAGAAGGAGGCAACCCTGTGAAGACACAGGGGAAGAGATTTCAGAAGGAACAGAAAAGGCATGGTAAGAATGAGCATGGATGAGTTTGAGGGTCAGAAAAGTCGTCAGAGTGCCAGAAAGCAGTGAGCACTGGAGAAGCTTTAGGAGTTGAGATTTGAGTGGTGGGCAGGAGCCAAGTCATGATTTCGGGTGCTCAGGAGTCATGAGAAGTTATAGGCTTAGGCAGAAGGATGATGTTCCCCAGGAAGCTGAGAATATCTGCCACTGAAAACATACTGGTTGGGGGACAAGAGGAGCAGTTAAGTGGTTCCTTATCTAAGGAGATAAAAGACAGTGGTGGCAGTCTTGGAGGTTGGTAAAGAGCAATCTGATTTAGGACATGCATTTGGAAGTGGGGAATGCTGACCAACTGGATGTGAATGTGGGGATGGGTGAGACAAGGTGGCATCAAGCAGAAGATGTGGTTGACGAGAAGTGCCATTGGCTGAGGGGTATCTGTGTGCGTGTGTATGTGTGTGTGTGTGTGTGCATGTGTGTGTTAGCACAAAATACTAAGCAGGTACCATGCACCAGGGCCTCTGCCAACTGCTTTATACTTTTCCTGTCCTTGAGGTCTCATCTGATCCATTGTAATTCTATCAAGGATTTACCTCACATTCAACAGTACCAAAACTGAGATTTATGCAGGGGCCACTAATTCCAAAACTCACACATTTAACCTCCATGCTCAAATCAAAGGTCAGTAGTTGGCAGCAGAGGGAACAGAACTTGTGACAAATGCCTCCCACACAAGGAGAGGAGTGGTCAAGATGGCTGCASCCTGGAGAGTAAACAGGGCAGGATACAAACTTGGTTTCTATCTCCACTTCCTGTTTAGACCCCTCATTCTCTGGGTTCTCAGTTTCCCTAGGTACCCTGCTGCATGACTCCAGGGAACCATACCTGTCACTTCTCCAGGGCTTTCTCATTGTCCTCTCCCATCTCCAGCATATCGCATTTGTAACCCTCTTCTAAGGCCTGGCTGGGTATCTAAAATAATCCAATAAATTCCAGGCCGAAAATTGGGAATAATGGCTTTCAAGAGTAAAAGCTGCTAAGTAACAGAAATGTATTTCTCCCTGTAATATTGTAATAAATAAAGAAATAATTGGTTTGCATCCCTGGTTCCTGTCACATAGCTCCTAAACCTCTTRGAATCTCTGGAGTGGTAAGTATCTTTTTTATGCTTACATGACTGGAGTTGGGGTCCCTTAGATAGCTTCAAGATGGGTGCTGGTTACAAGAGAGATCAAGATTGGAACTTTCAGCCCCTCCACCTCCAACCCTGCCAGGAGAGGGATCCAAGTCAAGTTGATCACTTGTAGCCAATGAAGTGAGCAATCATGCTTACCTAMGAAGCTTCCATAAAACCCCAAAAGGACAGAGATCAGGGAGCTTCTGCACAGCTGAACACATGGAAGTATCTGGAAGGTGGTATGCCCTGAGAGGATATAGAAACTCTGAGCCGGGTTCACATACCTTGGCCTGTGCATCTATTTATCTATAGTCTTTGTAATATCATTTATAATCAATGGGTAAATGTAAATTGAGTGTTTCTCTGAATTCTTTGAGCTGCTCTAGCAACTCAATTGAAGTTCAAGAAGACAGAATGTGGAAACCCCTGATTTATAGCCATTAGGTCAGAAGCACAGGTGCTAACTTAGCCTGTGGGGATCTGATACTACTTCAGGTAGATACACCCTGTTGATATCTGCTGGAATATCTTGTATCCGAATTATTGTGTTACATATGATAGTACGAAAACATTTGCTTCCTTTAATTTCTTGGATACCCCAATTTTGATTATTAAAAAAGATGTTAGGGTTGGGGGTGTAGCTCAGTGGAAGAATGTTTGCTTAGCACAAGGAAGGCCCTTGGTTCAAACTCTATTACTGGAAAAAAAAAAAAAGGTTAAATATTGAAAGTCGAGTGCAATTAGTATATACTCTCCTAGATTCACCAATGGTTAATAGTTTACCATATTTGCTTCTTTCTTGAAAAAAAATTCTCAATTTCATTTTGCTGAACCATTTGAAAGYAAGCTGCAGATATCCTGACACTTCACCTAAGAACAAGCCATTCTCCTAAATATGCACAACATGATCCATTCCCAAAATTTAACTTCCTATAGTACTATTTATTAACATGTGGTATATTTTCACATTCCTTCAACTGACTACAAAATGATGCTTCAAACTGTTTTTTTTGTTTGTTTGTTTTTTTGTTTTGTTTTGTTTTGTTTTGCTTACATGTAAAATCTGATCAAGGGCTGCTTACTGCATTTGTTTGACATGTCCTTTAATCTAATAAGATTTCTCTACCTTTTTTGTGGGGGGGGGGATTTCATGACATTAAAATTTTAGAGCTCTACTCCAGATTTATTTGTTTAGAATAAAAGTAAAAAACAAATCAAAACTGCAAAAGTGATGTTTTCTTGTGGCATCACTCCTGGAGACTAATCATGTGAGTTTGTCCCATGATTGAGTTAGATCCCTTGGGTGGTATGTGGTACCTTAACAATGGTACATTCTCCCTTGTAATTTAGTAAGGTACTACTTAGAGACCACGTGACTGCACTACCACCCAACTACAGTGTGTACATAGATCTTAGCATCCCCCTATATTTCATAGATGGCTGCAAAATGGTGAACTTTAAATGTTCTCATTCTAAATTTATTGGTGGCAGGCATTTCTCTGTAAAGAGCTACTTATCTGTGTACCTGATCATCCCCATTTTCTCTTAGTGTCCTGATAAACTTTGATTTAAAAAAAAAATTAAGATGTTTTACTCTATTATGCTCCTTATAATTTTTTTCTTCTGGGTTATCTTACATTTGGCCAGTGGTATCCTCTGCCAGTCATTTCAATGTTCTTTGAAATGTTCTCAGTAGTTTGTAAGCATTTTCTTGAATCGAATACATTTTAACAATGTCTTAAAGCCAGAGAAAGAGAAACTTGAGAAATTCTGTCCTTGGGCAGGTAAGTGAGGAGGTCATTTTGTACAGGCTGGTCCTTTTATATTTCATGCTCATATTACTTGGGGTGTCCACTGGCTCTCTCATGGACTACCTTTGGGGTTAAAAACCTAATCCTGGTCTGAACATACGGGAGCTCAATAAAAGAATCCCAGAACTCCAAGATGGAAGGCATCTTACTGGCCAGCCTCCCTCCCAGTGTGGGAAGTCAAAGAGCTCAGTGTTCAGCCTCTGGCAGGACTCTTCCTTGAAGTGACAGAGTATTCTCTACTTACAAGGTAAATTTTGTCCAGATTAGGGAAACTTGATTTTAAAAGCTCCCTTTTATTTCTACCTGAAATCTGCCTCCTTTGCAGCCACACAGACTGCAGAAGTTCTCTTTCAGTATAAAGAGTTCTTCAGATACCTAAGGACTATTCTTCTGACTACTGGAATCACTCCTTCTCATTCAGGCCCTCACTGGTGACAGAGTTATTCTTCAACACAGAACAAAGTGCAGAGTTTAAGGCTCTGGAATAGAGAAGGAAAGAGAGGTCAAATTCTAGGTCAGCCCTGGGAGGGCAGGAGTTATGCGTTCTTCATCCTTGTGTTCCCTGTACCCAGCACAATGCCCAACAACACCCAACAACAGTGTGTACATAGATCTTAGCCATCTCCCTATATTTTATAGATGGCCTGTTGATCAACATTTGTCAAGCAAACGAATAAGTGAATGATCAAATATTTATGGAAACAGGAAACAACATCAGCTGTTTGGGTGGTTTGAAAAATTAGCTACATCTAAAAAGTAATATACATAAAGAGAAGTACAATTTAATTGAGGCTTTAAGTACCAATCATCATGTACTTTATAATCGGTATTTGTTACATATAGTGATGTGCCCACATAGCTATAAGTGGCAAAGATGGGATTTCAAGCAATTCTGCCTGATTACAAAACCTGTATTCTACCTTGTGACTGTCTATTTAGGTATCTATTGCTCTATCATCTATCTAATTTAACATCATCTATTTTTTGTTCCTGATATCTCTGGCCTCACATATAAGCAGTTGGAGTAGTGATTTCTGTAAGAGTTGGAGAACTATATTTAAAACTAGTGATAAATTTGTATCATAATCTCTGTGTGTTTCATGTTCAGTCTGTAAACCTTGTTGGCCAGGGTTACTGACAAACTAGTCTCTTAAGAGACTAACTTTTTTTTCAGTACTTGGGGGATGGAACCAAGAGGTTCTCTACCCCTGAGCCACATTTCAAGCCCTTTTTTATTTTTTATCTTGAGATAGGGTCTCACTAAATTGCTTAGGGCCTCCCTAAATTGCTGAGGCTGGCCTCTCACTTGTGATCCTCCTGCYTCAGTCTCCTGAGCTGCTAATATTATGCCATTGCACCTGGCTTCCACCAGCCTTTTGTGTGTGTGTA